ATGTTGAACGGTTTGGTAGATTTTTAAGATTAAATAGAAAAAAACTGTGAAGAATTTCGTGACGGCAATTTTTACAATAAGATTTTTGTTTGAAAGTTTTGAGTCAAAAGCTTTGATACATTTTTCATGTAAAGGTGAATTAAAGAAAAATTTGAAATGGGCTGAAATGATGTGAGATTTGGTTTGGTCTTTGGTGGGGAGAAAGTACAAACTGGTTGGAACTGGTGATGGATGGATGAAAGGTTTATTTGCCGTCGTGACGGTGTCGATGTTCGTGTTGGGGAACGAGCAGTGCCCGCGGAAGCCGTGGGGACATTAATATTGTAGCATATGGGAGGGAGTGGTTTATATAAGATGGGCAGATGATGGGGGCATCGAACACCCGTGGGGTCATTGTCCCTCTGTCCCTTCAAGTTTCCGCGGGCACTGGGAGCGAGGTGTGTTTTGCGTTCGTCATCCGTGGTGGTGAAAGTGGGAAGGATCACGTTACTCAATTTATGACACAAAATAATGACATGAAATTCGGAAAATAATGGCGTTCTGCGAGAAATTGACTAGTTCAATTGGTTCAAAGTGAAATGATGCGAGAGGTTTTTTATACGGGAAAATAAAAAAAATTGCACATTTTGAACGTCATTTGTACATTTTTTGAACAATTGTATAAGAAAATTTTAATAGATTTTATTTCCGTGTTTTGGGGAACGATATGAAATTCGGGATATACCATATGTGAAAAAAATCAGATTTTCTACAACATTTGTACTTTTCTAAAGTAACACCAAAATTTTCTGTAGATTTCTAGGAATATTTTTTTAAAAGGTATGAAATTCAGACTATTTTATATATTTAAAAGATTTAAAGTTTTCCACGACATTGGTACGTTTTTTGAATAACTTTAATACCAAAGTTCCCATTTTTTGGAAAAACGTATGCAATTCAGGTTGTTTTTTTATGCATATCTGGAAATCAAAACATTTCAAAATTTACACGACATTTACACATTTTAAAAATAATTTAAATGCCAAAAATTCAAAACAGGATATGAAATGAATATTCTGTCCTATGAAATTTGTGTAAGCAAGGCAAAGCCATTTATTTATATACCCTGTAGTGAAAGAGTGGTTATTTGTGAGGGGAAAATGTTTATAATTTGCCCTGTCCGAATTGTCCAGGACATGACGATTGTCTCAAAATTACAGGAATATCGGAAATTATTCTACGTACTTAAGCCTTTCGTGTACTACTGACACGAAACATAATAAATGAGAGCCATCACGTGAAACGAAACATATTTTCACCTCAAATTCTTCTTTAATGTCTCTGTTTAAACTCACGGTTTTTATCGATTATTCACTTTCCATGAGATAAAGAAAAACGGGAATTGGGTTGGGAGAAGAAATTTAATTCAAGAAAAGTACGATTTTATTACAGGCACGAACTTAATTTTATATTTTTATGCGAGAATTGTTTAATTAAGGGGCCACCAATTAAAATAGACACTTATCCATTTGTCATTATACAAGGAAGAAGACAATCAATTTTGTAATTTTAGGATTTTTGAAAGATAAGCAACTCCAAATTTTGCATCAAGTTTTGGACCGTTCATTATTGCGACTAGTGAATTCTCGTTATTCATTCGTATGCAAAAAACAGGACTGAATAAATTGGTGGCATATGATTTGCACCACCGAACGGAATTGCACTGAAAAGCGATAGCAAATTTGCAATTTGATTCTTTAAAAATTGTGCAAATTTTGGACCAGTTCAATTTTTACAATACATATTTATAACCGAAGAATCTTGGGCATAAATTAACATTGGAAAATTACTTGGGAAAAAAGTCGGGTGATTAAATTTCTACCGTACAATTTGGACGAGCCCCGAGCGGAAGTGAGTTTCACCTCTGTCTGAGCGTCTCATGTGTAAGCGATTAGGGCCAATTCATGTTGATTTATCTGCCAACACGAAGCCAATTACGAGTCACTTTTTGTTTTGTGGGGCTTCTCCAAACTTTTCCACGAGAGCACATTCAGCGAGACGAGATCTCCGCTCGAGAGTCGCTTTATTCAAGAATTTCACACATTACTTGAGCAGATTTTAGAGAGAGCTCTTCTTGTGCTCACGCACAATGGGGCCGCCCAATGGTAGGAAATGCTATAAATTCTTATATGACTTGTTTTGAACTATTTTTGCATATTTGATGGTTTGGGGTCTATGAAAAAAGATGAAAAAAGGGGGAGGATCGTATCAATTTTTTGGACCAGACCCCTCGCACCCAGGGGCTGTTCATCTGTATGATGCCGCAAACCGATCACGATTATCTAGAAAGTCTGTTTAAATGATATTTTTTAGTGTGCAAATTTCGGCTATTTGGGCTACATTTTTGACGATTTTGAAAAAATTCCTGCTGCCAAACGAGGCGTGTAATCATCAATTCTCTTTTTTGGGGTGACAGTCCAATTTAGGTAGCGTCGTTTGAGATATCTACGAACCCAGGAATGCGGTCGCGCACTGCGCCACAAGGTCTCAAAGTGGGCGCAAAACGCAAAATTTCGATGTTTGAACGCCGATAACTTTGCTCTGGAGCGTCGTACGTTGATGTAATTTATATGAATTTGGGTCGGCATTCAATGATCTATCGAATGCAGTAGTCTTCAAAGCCACACCTCCTAATGTGGCGATAACTCCTCCCCAGGGGGTGTGGTTACACTAAAATCATACAATGCGTATTTTCGGACCCCAAACCATCAAATATGTAAAAATAGTTCAAAACAAGTCATATAAGAATTTATAGCATTTCCTACCATTGGGCGGCCCCATTGTGTCACGGTTTGAGGAGGAGGAGGAGGAAATAAATAAGAAATAAAACCCCTTGGCACCCGTTCAAGACGTGGATTGAGAAGAAATAAATAGGACAAAAGTGGGAGAAAGAATCAAATTGAAAAGCAATCTAGTACATGTGCAGATTCGGATGTATGTTTTTAAAAGGGCTGTGCGAAAAGGATGGATGGGACGGACCGTAATATGTAAATGTGGTAATATAAGAAATCACATGTAACAAAGGGGTGAAACTCGAGGGGTGTGGTCTGACATGCCCATCTTCGAATTCGTCGTACCCATAAAAATTAGAAACACGTGGCAAAAAACCGCATGTCCAAATTCGCATCTGTTCAAGTGTCATCGGACCAATAGAGTAGACAGACAAACGGACACTACGATCTTATAAAGAGGTGAAACGCATTAATAAACACTGCAAAGTTATTGATGGCAAAAGTTGCATTTACACTTTTCTGATTTGTAACTTGCGCCCATGTTAGAGTTTATCAATGACGCAAGTTACCAAAGAGTGAAGTAGATATAAACCTGAAGCTTTCTATATTGTTTTATGGAGAATTATATATTTTTACGAATTATGTCTGTATAAAAACCGTTACCGACTCGGTGACAATTTTGTTGTCCAGAGTTGTGACGTGATAAGTACGTAGTTGAGGAGGGAGGCGAGGTGAAAAATATGGGTGACATCCTTTATGCAGGAGAGGCATGATCTTTTTCATGGGCTTTTGCTGCCCTGAGAGAATGGTTTTGGTTTAGTGGGCACGGGGTTAAAAATTAGCACGGTCTAATTGCTCGCCAAGTTTCGACGGAATGGAACTGTTTACAGAACAATCCAAAATGCAAGAATGCGGAAAATTGAGAAAGGAGGATTTTATGTAAAGGGTTTTAAGTTTCTGGGTAAAAAAAATGTGTGCAAAAGGTGGAACAACTTGACTTTTAAGAATTTTAAGAAAAATTGTACAAGTAAAAAGTCGATCTAATTTACGCGAATTAAATTAAATATGAAAAGATTGTATACAAAGATCCTAGGGGTGTACAGCATCAATAAAAATGATGTATTTTCAAAAATTATAAAGATTTTGTAAAGAAAGAAATTCAAATTTTTTTAAATCAAATTGGAATGGATCTTATCAAAATTTTGGTTTTTTTTATTTTGTGAGGAAAAATGTAGAAATATTTGGAAACTTTAATTTGGTAAATTGTAGAAGTAAAATGTCTCTATTTTATTTGTGTGGAATAAAGTAATACTTAAAATGTGCGTAGATGACTTGGTGATCATTGGGAAAATGTTTGAAATTGCAATAAAAATGGAAGATTTATTTTTCCGCAAAAATTTTGTGCGAAAAATAACAATTTCACATTTTGAGATACATTGATAAATGCGAAACGGTTATCCTTTTCCTTTAAAATGTTGCCCTTTATTTAAACCGGATCGTAAATAAATTAGTGTTTGTCCTTGAATTTGATATCATAAGTTCACCTTGATTATGTCCGAAAATACCCGGGTAGCCATGCAGGGTTGGGTTGGGTGCGGGTGTTTGTGGTGAATAAATAGTGGGATAAAGCTAAATATAAATCGGTCGGGTAGATCAATGATGGCTTTGGTGGTGAAATCAAGAACGAACGAGCGATATCCTGAATTAACCCCTCGCTTAATTAATGATGAAGCGATATGCGGAAATGAAAATGGGAAAATAAAAGTGGTGCATACTAACTACCCGGATTCCTACATATATACCCGGGAGTCAACATTTTTCGGACACACACCCACCCACCACACAACCACTTCTATTTATAATTGGGCCTGTGCCATTCCTATCTATCTGCAGAGAGAGAGAGAGCTGCGAAACTGATTAGTTGGGTTAGTGGATTTGCATATGCGAAAATGGAAATCAGATTGGGTCTGAACTATGACTGTATGCAGAGGAGGGAAGTAAATGCGAAAATGGAATTAAATATTTTGGTATGCGGCATGATGCGGAAGATGCGACGGTTTCTGGTAATTTGCGAAAATAATGGGGAAATAATTTGCACAATTATGTACGACTAGATTACCCCTCCCCCCCAACCGGCGCTCCGCGCCTGAGCTACGCCACGTGATGATAACAATAATTACAAAACTTTCACTTTTTTAAGCAATTAATTTATTGATTTATTAACTTGGTTATAAATTGACATGCAAAATTAATAATTCTGTCGTTATCTTTTAACTTTGGGTCATAGAAAATAATTCAAATTGTGAAATTGACGGAGACTCTGATGATTATGTATGTGGAGTAATGAATGTAACAGTCAAATGTCGGCCGAATCATCTCGTAGAATCTCGTCCTGTAAAAACAATATGATAAATAAGGACAACCTAATAAAAAATAATTGAAAAACACTCTTTGAAATTCAGTATTAAAATAATGCCACAGGGTATTCATATACGACTCTACTGGTGGTTTCTACTGAACATTTGTCTGGTCTCTGTCCTGCTCTTATAAGGACCGAATAATACTGATAGCTCGGTATTAAAGTTCTATAAAAACGGTTACAAATTTTTTACGGACCGGAATAATTTAAATACCATGCGGTATCAACTTTAATACCGGTAAATTAATACCTCAGTGACTATACCAGATTTCTATCAGGGCACTACTCACCTCATCCATTGGAAGGGCACCGTCGACGGGTTGTTGACCTGCTGGTGGCGAGGATGGCGCGGGCGGAGTGTTTGACGGCCCCGAGGGGTAGTCGGTCCCGCTGCGGCAGCCGCGGCAGGCTGCCGAATTGAGGAGGCACGGCCAGCTCTAGGGCGCACAAACCCTCCGCGGGCCTGTATGATAGCGGCCCACTCGCGGGCTGCGATCCTCTGCTGAGTGGACATGGGGGCTTCAGTCTGTTCCCCACAAATTGTACAGAATGAGACCACTCCTAAAAATATTAAAGAATGAAATGTAATAATATGTTATTACATTTCATCATGTTAAACTTGTACATGACACAAATAAAATGAAATACGTATTTTTTATCACTCAAAACTTGACCTCAGTATCCAACGCCACAAAATGACAACAATTCTGATTCTGCAAGATTAACCACTAATTTTTTCAGACAACCTTCGTGACAAATTTTCTATCAATGTCTTGATAATGAATGGCAGATAGCATTCGAAATATGACAAAGAAAGAACCATTTTCTGAACATCAATTAGCGCTCGGGATGTGTTCTCGTCAATATCAAACTCCTGCAGATAGTCTACGATAAAGTGTTGCTGAAATGTATTCCAAATGTTTAATGGCTCTGAAGGTCCACAGAAAACACAAATAAACACAAACAATTGCCTTAGTTGCTTGGGCATCTGAGAAATGCATGCCTCCGTCAGTGAGTTGTGCCATTCCAAATCATCCGCGAAGCAATTGCCTTGCTCGACACGCTTCTTTGAACGTTTCATAAATTACCCCATCAAACGTGCGCAAATCTTCAAATGAGCATGCTCCAGGTACATGGTTAAGAAGCATTCTTAAATGAAATCTTTCAATGTCTTTAGGGCTCACTGAATACATTCTACTGATAACACGTTCGCCTTTCGAGACTTGGCATCTTGCTTTCCATGCATTTTGGGAAAATGTGTATGCTTTAGGAATATCAGGATATAGTACCCCGTGTGCAGTAGAACTTGCTTTATTTAGCTCAAGCCACGCAAGTAAATGACTCTTTTTGGTTCTAGCTTTGTCCAGAGCAACCTGTTCCACATTTTTAAGGAAATATACAGGCTGCAAGTTTTCCAAATGCACTGCTAATCGAAAAACTGTGTGCGATTTCTCATGCATTCGCTTTTCTAATAGACGCCACATCGCCTCAGGTACCGAAACGTATCTTGCGTCAAGGAAAGTGGTTATTTCGTCCCAATGCAAGACGTTTGGCTCATCTTGTTTCAGTTCCACATTAGCGCAATCATGACCTTTGTATACATATTTAAATAGATATTTGATTGACTTGATCGAGCTGCATATTTCAACGTTTATATGAGCGTCGTATCGCTTTGTCAAGTAAGGATTGTAAGGAACAATCCACCGATTGTCAACTTCAATCCCTCTAGTTTCAAAACTATTGCCATTGTTCCGCCGACGATAAATTGGATAACCATCAACATTCTTTTTTGTTTCCAATTTAAATTTTTTTGGGTAGCCTTTTGTGCATTCCCGGTCCTCCATGCAGGGGCTATAAGGGTTTATTTCCCCGCACGGGCCATGCACCATTGATGACTTAACAGTTTTATATAGGGCGGGATCAACAACGGGGTCAGGTAGTTCAGCACAAACTATTTTATCAATATCTTCAATTTGTCTGATTTGATCTTCATCTGCCAAATGCACCAGCAAGTGCATGTGAGGAAGACCGCGTTTTTGGAATTCTATTACATAAATATACGCATCTACTCGGCCAAAGATTCCATCTTTTGTAATTTCTTTCAGCAATAATTTTTTTTCTTTCTATCGAATACTCTTGCAACAATATCCGGCCTATTATTTCCGTGCTGTCCCGGAAGTAGATTGGATTTTATTTCTGGCCACTTCGGATTGCAAGTAAATGTAATAAATAATGATGGTTTTCCGTATTCTCTAACAATTGTCATGGCATCTTGAAAATTTTGTTGCATTGCCCTTGGGCTCCCTATAAAGGTTGATGGTAATATTACGGGCACTCCTGCCTGAACTCCAGCTTCTGCAGCTAAAGAGTGTACATGATCCATAAGTCCTAAATATGATTCAACCCGCAGGTCTTTCTGATTGTTACGAAGGTAGTCAAGCCGACTACTTTCCACTTTCACATAAGCATCAACAATGTACTGCTGTAGGAGTTTCCCTGCATAGAATATAGGGCTAAACTCTTCCCTCACGGAGAGTCGAAAACTGTAAAATTGAAGCTGTGAATATTTCGTCCTGTCAGTAGTAGTCCACCCTTTGTCACCGTGAGGAAATAGCAATACGTATGACATAGGATCGCAATTTGGATTCAATTGGTGGATATTGATTAGGGATTTTCCTTTCGGGTGAATGCATATATCCCTATTACTTGGTGGAGCGCCATCGCTACTCGCAAAAACAATAGCAATTTCATTGGCCCTTGGCGCGTTATATCTCGCAGAGTGTTGTTCAGCATTTGGTTTTGTATCTTGAATATACATTCGGACAGAACAAGCAGCTTCTGAACCGTATGTGTGCTTAATTTGATCCTCATACTCGTTCATCATTTTAAATGCACCTGCAAACGGGTTTATTTGTCGAATCTCTTCATCTAAGTTTTTCATAACTAAAGCAGAGCAATTTCTATTAGCAGAAATTTGCATCCGCTCTTCAGCTGCTATTGAGGAATCTAATACGTACATTTGCGGAAATGATCTCCTGCCGTTTTCAGGGTGCATATTTGAAGTCAGGTGATGGATGGTACCATGAATTTTATAGACGTACGGACCGTGGCCCTCTGGAACTTCTATTCTAGCACCCATTGATGCAAATGAGAGCGCACTATTGTATGAACGAATATTATCACGGAATGATTTTGCTGCAGTTGTTTGGCCAGTCATTAAAGTGCCCATATAATTTGGATAGGTTGATAGCTTAGATTAGCTTTTCCATTATGAAAACAATGGGAGTATGTTCCCTTTCCTTCCTTTGTACATTCCAGTTTAAAATGGAGTGCATTACATGTCAGACATTTCTGGTTCATATTCCCACAGCAGTGTACTTGAATTTGTTTAGTATTTTCACCAGTTCTGCCTACGCGTGATGCTGGGCATTTTTTGGCAGCAGTATTTTTTAGTCGATGGATCCTTTCAACCTCTGTTTCATTTCTTCGTACATTTCGATGCTTTTCACGTCGGCCTTCTAAATGGGTGGAACGTGCTTCAGGGGTTGCATTCTCCCGTGCCTTACATTCATTTTCACGTCGTTTTTCGGCACGTTTGGAATGCGCATTAAGTGTTTCATTTGCCCCGCATTGACCTCTTGTCTACGCTGGGTTTCTAATCGGCGGGAATGTTCATCGTCTGTTTCTTTAGCACGTCGGTTTGCATTATATTCCCTTTGATATTTAAGGCGTTTGGTTCGACTTTCCTCTGATTCATTCTTACGCTTCGGTGCCATACTATTTTTTTCAGCAATTTTATTTTCAGCTTATTTGAAGAATCTAATTTTTAAGCTTTTTTGCAATTTTATTTTCAGTTTTTTTGCAAATTTAACTTTAAGCTTTTTTGCAAATTTAACTTTAAGCTTTTTTGCAATTTTATTTTCAGCTTTTTTGCAAATTTAATTTTAAGCTTTTTTGCAATTTTATTTTCAGCTTTTTTGCAAATTTAATTGTAAGCTTTTTTGCAAATTTAATTTTCAGCTTTTTTGCAAATTTAATTTCAAGCTTTTTTGCAATTTAATTTTCAGCTTTTTTGCAAATTTAATTTCAAGCTTTTTTGCAATTTAATTTTCAGCTTTTTTGCAAATTTAATTTTAAGCTTTTTTGCAATTTTATTTTCAGTGTTTTTGCAATTTTTGTTTTCAGTACAGTGTGGTCTTGCAATTTTTTTAAATTAAAAACAAACTGCACATTTATAATCCAGTCGCCGAACAGCTTGAATAGTTCATATAAAGATGGGATTCAGTGCAGTGTGGTCTTGCAATTTTTTTAAACTAAAAACAAACTGTGCACTTTTATAATCCAGTCGCTGAACAGCATGTACATATAAAGGATATAGGGATACTTGGGTATGGGCATATATATCCTGCGGTGTAAAATGCATGGTTGCCATTGCCGACTGAGAACGTCGGGGAGGGAGAGAGAGAGAGAGCGAGCGAAGGAGAACGTGGCAACGTCACAACCCAACTTCGGACGTACCATGCAAATGAAAATAGGTATACAGATCTGTAGTTTGTGTACGGAAACCAATTGTAATTTGGGAGTGTACGTATGTATGGAAATGAAAGGGAAAGTTTGTACATGGTTGATTGATTTATGAAAATAATTATTTGGGATTTTAGATTGCACAAATTCAGTGCATTTTTTTGTGATGAGAAGATTTGCATGATTATTTGGCACCGGTGGCGAGCCAAATTTTGTTGAGGTCTGGAATTTTGAAAATTCTTTGAATTTGCACATCTTTTCCTGTTTCTGATTGATGAATAAAAATTCGTGTGAATTTCCACGTTCTTTTTTTCGTGGCGGAAATATATTGCAGAATTATTTTTCTCAGTTGGTGTTTAACGAAGCCAATCATTATTTTGCCAATTTATGAAAATTTAAGGGAAAAATCTGTAGATGTTTTTTTCTGCTGGTATTTGTAGAATTTTTGGCCACTGCTAGAAGAGCCGAGTAGATTTAACGAATCCAATTATCACTTGATCTGAACAAATGTGCTAATCAATCAATTAGTTTTGTTATCAGGAAGGAGAGAGGAAAAGAGGGAAAATAATTGGCCGAGTCGCGAGCTGGTGTCCGGTGGAGGAGTGGTGTGTGTGTGTGTGCTCTATTTGGCTCACTTTCTCTCCACTGCTTTCACCCAGGCTAACTAACGCGGTGCAGGTCCAAGTGGAGGAAAAATGCGGATCGACGCATGTCCTGCACACGGTAACGGTAAATAATGTGGGAAGAAAATAAAGTATCTAGGGTACAGGGTTACCCAATTCTTGGCGGAAGAGTGTACTCAGTTTGTTATGCAAGATTTGAATTTTGTGTGAAAAATGGATATTGGTAAGTTGTAGAAAATTTGAATTTGGAAAATTTGAGGGAAATTTTCGGGAATAATTATTGCCGGTTTTTTGACCGATGGTCGAATAATTGTGCAAGAAATTCAAAATTGTGGGCAATTTACAGATCCTGATACTCCACAATTTTTTAAAAACAATTATGGACAATAAATCCTTCACAAAACTGGTTGCTAATTTTTTACCGAATTGGTCACAGTGGAGAGACTAAGTTTGCTACCGAACTGGTAATGATTTGTGGTCACAGAGTAACAAAAATTGTGGAAGACGTTAAATTTTTACGAGAAATCTCATGCAAAATTTGAATTTTTTCTAAAAATTGAATCAACAACAGGAATTATTGGCCGTAAATCGTTACAAATTTAGTTCCCCGATTAATTAGAGTGTGGACTTGGCAGGGAGTGTGTAGCGGAGTGAAAGAGAGAAAAAGTCGCCTCGTCAGGAAATGAAGGTGACGAGGAGCGAAGCGAGGAGAAATTGGTATTCTTCTTTCCTCCTGGTAAGAACATGGGGAGGACAATTGCTCACAAATCCGAGGGACGAGCTTACGTTGGAATTAAGCCGATTTATTTATCACCCTGCTGGACTCCTCGGATGTGGACAATATGTGTCAATTCAGATTAAAGAGCTCCGACCCTCCTAATCCCCTAAATACTCGTTATTACTGTCCACTTCTGTCCCCGCTCCTCTACGTGACGACGAGGCTGGAAATCAAGGGCCGCGGAAGGGTGCGGACAGAGGGGCAATGTCCCCATGGTTATTCGATGTCCCCATCATCTGCCCAGCTTGTGTACACCCCTCCCTCCCCCTATCCCACAATGTTAACGTCCCCACGGCTTCCCGCAGCCACTGGTGGGAAATAATCCATTATTTGCACTGCGTAATCTCTGCAGGATGGGAAATAAATAATCGCCAATTTGCGGGGCATGGCATGATGGAAATGTGCTCTTTTTTGGTGTCAGTGAGAGGAAGCAGAATTGATTTGGTGGGTTGACGCTGTGGCTTTTGAAATTCATTTAATTTGGTGGCACGTCACGTCATGCCAGCCTTGTTAAAGTGTCACTCGAGATGGATTCTGGAAGCTGGTACATCGTAGATATGGATGTATGTCAATCAAATGAGGGTGGATCCTTGAGGGAAATGGTGGTGGTGTGAATTATTGGCGAGATAATGAGATGACGAGGAGAGAATGAAATGGATATCGGGTGAGTGAAAGTCGATCTCGATTCGGGGAAGGGAGAATGTTTGATGGAGAGAGATGGAGGCATAATTTGGGTAAAATTTTGAAGTTTTTTACCGTGAAATTTTGGACTTTGAGACTTTTTAACTGTTTGTCTTCTTATCGGCTAGTTTGGAGAGAATGTGCGATGGAGAGAGGCGTAATTTGAGAAAATTAGTACGAAATATGGAAGTTTTTAGAAATCAGGTAAAGTTTAGAGTTTCTTTATTTCGAAAAATGGCCCAAAGGCCCCAATGCTGCAACTTTGGTAAAAGAAGGAAATAGTGTCCCACGGAAGGGGTGGTCTAGTTCCTGACATTGACAGAAGTCGCCGAAGTAGTGTCACACTTGAATAGGTCGAGGAGTTAGGCGCAGGTGAGCGAAATTAAATCAATTCATGATACTTAATAATGCGACAGCTTGATATTATTATAAAAAAACATTAATTTATATTTAAATTATCAAAATTTCAGCACACTCGTCCCAGCCAGCGATTAATTTCAATATTAGTGGTACCGACGAGGATCAGTTACAATCACAGCTGAATTATACGGTCACCAGTCAAGGTTTAAATTTCACTATTATAATAGGCATATTATGTACTTATATTTTTAATAGAGTGAGATATTATGTATTTAAAGGGTTTGAGGTCAACGTCTTGAGTTATCTGATCGACATTAAGGCAGAAGTAGGTAGATTATCAGCTCAAGTGGCGGCGCTAGCAGCCGGATGTGACTCTGCAGATACCGACGAGGAATTTCAACCTCCGATTGCTACAGAGGACCAACTTACGGAAATAGAGATAAAGTTGGATGATCGTGCGGCAAGAAAAATATTGATAAATAATATTCAATTTTATTTATAGCTTGTATGTATGTTTTTGTCAAAATGCGACTAATGCATAATTTTTTATCTATTAGTTTAAACAAATTGTCAAAGTGGGGGGACTTGATATCAAGGATACTGTTGAGCGAGTATTAGCGACGGTTTTTGGTCAATCCATCGCAGAGCAAACGTCTTTAACAGGAAAGAGTAACAAGTTTAACATTTAACATTAACATTTAATAAACTAAAACTCTTCAAAATCGTAGTTGGTAATTATTTAGTTAACTCTAATAGCGTATCAAGTTAATGTTGTCAATTTAATAAGTAGAATATTTGCATAATAATTTCAGATGTTATACTAAAAAATCCCCGATGTTCAAACAATACTCAGAAGGACCTGGAAGTCGAAGCAACGCGTTGGTTCGGCAACGCTAAGATCGTGACGACGGAAGGGATCGGAGACGTAAAGAGAAAAACCCAGCCCACTAATAATTGATCTGCGTAATGGAAGCATCAAAATAGAATTAGTATTGATTTAAGTTCAGGCGGTCAGATTTATTACAATCCACAACATTCAATTCCAATAGTTTCCCCCGAAATAGCAAATAATGAATTTGAATTAGATGAATTTTGTCAGCCAGACTCGGACGACGAGTTTGAAAATGAGGACAAATTTTCTAAATCTTTAGAATTTCAATTTCCGATTATGACAATTTATAATTGAAAAATTGGCAAGTTTTTGATGGAAAGCAGTTTTCCATAAAAAGGGTAATAATGTTGCATTTCTCTCGTCGGAGGAAATTGTTGAAGTTGAATGTTTCATAGACGATAAAAAGTTTCCCGGTAAAAGATATTTAAAGAAATGTGATGCTTATACATTTCCCCTCAGTAGTCATAAGTTAAAATCATTCATTGTTAGCAACCTTAATATAATTTCTGGAGAATTTGAATGTAATTCAATAATTAGTATGGGATATTTAATGCAATGTAGTGATGAATATGTATGTAAATGAAAATGCTGTATTTCTTCATGTAATAAAGTAATATGTAAAAACAAAATGTGTGGTTCAGCCCTGTATTTGCATCAATGGTCCCTGCATGAAAATATAAGCTTGGTCCAAGGCAGGGTGAAGTACGCTCTCGAAGCAGGATACTGAGCTGGACCAGAGTTGAACCAGACTTGCAACAAACACGTAGGGCCAGATCTGTTTAGGCTGTGAGCCCTACTTGCATAAACTATGGCGCTAGTATGGGCCAGATGTGAACCATAGCAGGTTGAAGTCCGGTTGCAAGTCTGGCACTGGACATTCCCCTGATGTCAAATCTGTACGTTGCCCAGACTTTCGTCAAAAGTATGGCCCAGGCAAAGCCCAGGCTTAAAATGTTACTTAACATGTTAACACTAAATTCTCGTGAGATTTCTTGCA